AGGGAACGACGTCCAGCTATCCGCCATTTTGTTGCCCGTCTCGTGACCAAAAAGATAGTTACCAGACTCCTAAACAAAAGTTCCGCGTATAAAGTCTAAGAAACAATTTTTGTTCGAAAAAAATGTAATTTTGTTATTCAAAAACACGAAAAAATAAAAAGAGAAAAATGCATGATAAAAAAATTGAACTCGCCGTTTAATTTTGTAGGGGAAGACTCTAAACTTGGCTCCCAAAACGTATCCATGATTTTACAGACCAGGAACTGAATTCCTCGCTGTAAAGAGTGACAGTAAAAGCTGCCTACTATTCTTATATCAAAAAACCCATCATTGTTTACTTCTTAGCAGTTTCCATTCAGTTTTATTTAAAGTTAGGGCCACAGACAAACAAACAAATGGTAATATGTTAGCAAACTTAGCACCCTCTGAGAAGATTCTGTTGGCTTTTTTGTAATCAATTGATTGGATGATCTATTCTCCAGAGAACATAAATGCAACCCAGTTGGAGAAATAATTTTATGAGTAAACGGAAAAAATAGATAGAAATGTAAAGCCAAGGGGCATTTAACGGTCGTTANAAGAGAAAAATGCGTAATAAAAAAATTGAACTCGCTGTTTAATTTTGTAAGGGAAGACTCTAAACTTGGCTCCCAAAACGTATCCATGACTTTACAGACCAGGGGCCCGTTTCTCGACAGCCCCGGAAACTTTTCGGGCCCGTAAAGCCATTTTTAGTCCCTCGTTATCTAAAAACGGAGAAGTGTATACGCCTGAAACTTCTTGTATGAAGGGAACCTGTCCTCATATTAAACCGAATATGTCAATAAAGTAGCTCTGTAATCTTAAGGTTCGAGATTTTGCTATGGCTTTCCGGGGCTTTCGAGAAACGGGCCCCAGGAACTGAATTCCTCGCTGTAACGAGTGACAGTAAAAGCTGCCTACTCTTCTTATATCAAAAAACCCATCATTGTTTACTTCTTAGCAGTTTCCATTCAGTTTTATTTAAAGTTAGAGCCACAGACAAACAAACAAATGGTAATGTGTTAGCAAACTTAGCACCCTCTAAGAAGATTCTGTTGGCTTTTTTGCATCAATTGATTGGAAGATCTATTCTCCAGAGAACATAAATCCAACCCAGTTGGGGAAATAATTTTATGAGTAAACGGAAAAAATAGATAGAAATGTAAAGCCAAGGGGCATTTAACGGTCGTTAGAAAATTATTAGAGGGATTTGTACAGGAAAAACAAGTCGTGCCATCCAAAAATTGGTATATTTCCAAACTGTTGTAAAATTTATTACCTGGAGATTACAGGCCTGGGATGATCTTGTATGGTTATTTTTCTCTCTCTCTCTTCCTTTTTCTTACACTTACAAAATGCCTTTTTATAATAATATTAGATTGGAAAGTCTTCTCATAATTTTCCATAAAAGAACTTTTCATCGGGGACTCTAGTTGTTTCTCTGTCCCCACACTGGTAATGTAATGAACATATCATCATTGAAACCTTCTCAATTTTCAACTGTTCACCATTAAAAGGTACCAATTTCTGAAAATTTGTATTCATGCTAATTGAAAAGCATTTTCCATTTCTTGTTATCATATAACTTAAGCTACACATTTTATGATTGCTGTGTCCCAGTGCTGCCAAAGCTGAATGCAATCTATATGACAACCTCTGCGACAAATTCCCTTCTCTCAGTATTTGTCCATCACGGTACCTAAATCAGAGTTAAGGAATCTCTGCAGTCTGACACAGACAGGGTAATAGGACAATCTTCAATTGAATTTTTGAAAGTAATCTGTATGTGCTTTGGTTTCACATAATTTACCACACAGTGCAATTGCAAACTTGTAAGACTTTGTCATGAAGTAAAACCATGACCCCGTTGTACACATTTTCTTTTGCTTTGCATTGGCTTTATGTTTTTGCTTCAAATTCTGATCGGTTCACGGATAACTTGTCTCCATTCTTTGTGATTGCATGGCCAGTGATTACTTTGGCTTTGGTTTTACAACACACAATTGAAAACTGCTCTATGGTTGGAGTTATTTATTCTAATGCATTTCATTTATATTTTTAATTTTTTCTTTATAAATTTAAAATTCATAAAATTTAAAATTCATAAATTTAAAATTTATAAATTTAAAATTCATAAATTTCAATTTCTTTAAGTAAGGTTTGAAGGAATATTCTCAAAACAAAAATTAGCAAAAGTAATAAACCACGTTTCAATATCATCAGGACGTCATTGTCAAGTAAACGTGTAGGTTAGTTTTTGCATTATAAATAGAGCTACAATATTATGTGCATAGGATGCCAAAATTTTTGTATAGACTTTCCATTATTCATTTATTCATTGACAGTTTCCCATTTTCTACATAGCTCTTTTTGACAGTGTTCATAACCTTTATGTCAAAGAACTAATAAACAACTTTTAAAGGGCTGGGTCACCTGCTAATGGACAATGTTTTGTTTGAAAGTCAAATTTTTATCTGATTTTGGCACTAAATTTTTGTGGGTTCTAATTTTTTTGTGATTTTTGCGTTTTTTTCTGCAATAAGTAGAAAAAGATTTTCTCCGCAAAAACTTACTCCTCTGGCAAAATTATGCATGCAAATGTCGCTAGTAGAATTTGTTGCAGAAATGAGAAACAAAACGTTCAAAAATTAAGAAGAAGGTTTACAGGAAAGGATCATTAGGTTCTCTATTGAGAGGAGCATCTACAATTCCGCAAAAGAGTCCGATGTAATTGTGACAGAGTGACACTGATTACTGAATTACTGTGTTTTAAATTTCTACATGTTATTTCACTTAAACGCGACCTCCCAAAAATTGTAAAAATTAATATCCAGCAAGAAAAACCAGTCTTTTACAATCACAAAAATTAGTTCCCACAAAATTCAAAAAGTGCTGATCCCGCAAAAATTTAGTGCCGCATGGTATTTACAAATCTATGTTCACAATTCATGAATAAAGCAATCTCATGGACAGAGAAAAAACATTAAAAGAACCCTAATATTTGGTATGGCTTATTGTTCATTCCAATCTATGTCCCTTCTAAACTCATCAAATTCATCCAGTGACATTCTTGCAACTTTTTCAGCAAACCGTTTATCTGAGTTAGTAACAATCAGTCCCAGTCCGTAGTCATCGATCTTCATTTCATCTGTTATGTGGCCTAGATGTTTCAAGTACAAATGCCTTTCTTTTATTCGCTTTAAAGAGCACTGGAACAACCGAGGACAGCGTGCTATACTGGATGGACTCGCATTAATCTTCTCATAGCAGTATGTCCACTTTTCCTTGAGTGCCTCGGGACTGAAGGTCAAAACAGATGGCTGTTTGAGAATGATGTTCTTGATGTGATCTTTGTTGAATTTGAGCTCTTGTTCGAGGAACTGAACTTTCTTCCTCAATGACTCAACATTATAAGTGGCGATTATGCTAGGGCACTTTGTAAGTACATGGAGTATTTCATCTTTGGTGAACTTTGGTGTTACTTTCATGTCTTCAAAATATTTGACCTATGAAATAAAAAAAAGCTTTCAGATTAGATTGTGAGAAGTTTGTGTTGTTGGGCAAGACACTTAACTCTCGGACATGCTTTGAGAAAGATGGGCATCCAAGCATCCTGTGGACACCCACAGGATGCATTTTATTTTTCAAATGATACTTTATAAATTGTTCATGTGAGTAGACCCTAAAGCACATTTTGGATGCACACTTTTCAAATCCTGGCTAAAAGCCTACTCTTAATGTACCTCTCTCCACCCAGGTATATAAAATGGGGATCAGAAACTTTAATGCTGAGGGTAACACCAATGGACTTGTATTCTACCCACGGAGAGAGGGGTAGTCAAGACTCCTAGCTCTTCTCAATTGGCCACAGAACAGACTAAAGAGAAGACTTATATTGGGTCTAAGATTCTCTCCTCTGCCCCGCAGACATTGAAACCTTTACCCCATACTAGACCATGATCAGTTTGATTTTGCAACAATATTCTGACTAAGCACCAAACACCCCTGCCCTATCCCAGGCTAGCTATTTTCCATGCAGAAATATTTTCACTATCATAGTCCAACATGCACCAACTAAACTAAAATCTTACAAAGTTACCTCTGAGAAGTCAAATCCAGTTGAACTTAAATTGTTCGATTGATTTTTATTGGGTTCAGCAATCAAACACAAATTTATCAAAGCAAATACAATCAAAGGTTCAGTTATTGCACTCTTATTCCATCAAACACAAGCAAACTCTTGAAGTTTGATTGGTGGGACTGATTATCAAACATTCAGTTGGCTAAGCCAGGCATTTAAAACTGTTTTCAACAGGTTTTGGAGTTGTGTGGTCTTGAAACACGAAAATACGAGTTCCCAGGTGAGAACCAAGATGCCAGAATAATTTTATATTATTATCTACTACATCTTACCTACCTTGAAATTTCATACAATGGCAAAATCTGTGTAGTTGAAATGTTTTGCATTTTCTTTTTTTGTAAACAAAATAAAACCAGTTGACTTCAATTGGTTCCATTAAGTTCCGTAATTGAACTCACCATAAAATGAAGTTAGATTGTCTTTGACTGTCCCAAACCAATCACAAAACAATCAAGTGATTGATTTTTCATTTTGGCTGATTAGGCCAGGTTCATGCTGACTGGACCATAGTCTCCTACACAGACACTCGTTGAGCATGTCACATAATCTTCCTTCCCCATGAAATTATGGCTGCTGAAACACAGGGTTATTTCTGTCGCTTTATCACAATGCACTTCCTGATCAAGGCAGCAAATGTTTGAACCTAAGAAATTTAGCCTGACACTTTACTGCCAGTGTGGCCTTTCAACAAGTGTGTGGACCTTAAAACCCTTGATTTAAATCTTGATAAGCAAGAAACTGTAGAGCATTTTGTAAAGAAAGAAATGGGCATGTTCGTAAGTAGACATTTGTTTGGCTAGTTCGTCCAAAATGCTGGAAGCCTGCAGGAAGTCTGCTTGGATTGCAAGACACCAAAATACCAGCAAGGACTTTCAATGAGTGTGTGAGACATTTACAATGTTATGTTTAAGTCTGAATACGGAAACTATAGTGTGTTTCACAGTGAAAAAGATGAAGTGTTCATCAATCTTTGAGCTCGGACTGGATTCAAAAGATTGCATAATTGAAATCATAGTATTTACTTTGAAAGCATTAATGCTAAATTCTACACAACACGCCACAGTACATGTTGTAGTTACCACTCCAAGGGAGCCTTACACGATGACCCGGCACTGATTGGCTCAGCTGATTTCTACAAGCAAAGGGAAAGGAATGTGTTGTTTGTTTCAACAGATGCTGGTAAAGGAAGAAGATTGCATGACAAGCCCAAAGAGTATCATCTGCATAGGAGGCTACCTAGACCACATATATAGGCCAGCAGTCTGGAGGTGGGAAGAGGGAACAGAGAAAGCATGCAGGGAATGCTACCCAGCTACGTTTGTAACCATGAATGGCCAAGATACCTCCCACCTCCCCCTCCCACCAGGCCTTACCTTTCCAGGCAAAGTTTCCTCTGTTCTAGCTGTTAACACACCAGGCGCTTCTTTAACAACGTAAGTTATAGACTCTGGATAGATTCCAATATTTCGCATTGCCTGCACACGGTTTTTAAGCAAGACCTCCTTGGTTGTCAAGATGGTTGGTCTGCGAGTGATAACTTTGCGCCTAAGTTCTCGGTCAATTCCAATCTCCCCTAGAAATCTAAAGATTTGTGCTATTTTCTTCACGGAAAGTTTGCTGAAATCTATATGTTTGCGAATATTTTTAACTCGGATGCCATTTCTTTCCAAAAATTCCCCGACTTTGGCACGTGCTTTAGATGACAGTTCAGGCTGTTCAAGTTGTTCAACTAATCTTGTCCCTTGTGAACCTTGGTTAGTTTCCAAAGGCTTCTGAGTTTCAGTTACCAACTTTCTAACAAAGCCAAAGGGAAAATCCCTTTTAAGGCTGCCAAACACCAGTATCCGAAGTGATGCAGTGTTAATGTTAAACTGTCGCACAAGAACGAAAGCATCCTTCGGGAAAGCCACCATATTGAAATCCTTACACCTTTTCCAGGTTCCCCGCATTTTTCACAGCCTCGGGCGGTATTGGAGATCTGGGCCCAGTTGTTCAAAGGGTCATATTTTATTCTTGAATGCGTGGTGCCTGAATGCGTAATTAAATTTAAAACAACTCTGCAAAAAACTAGCAAGATAAAACACTTTTATACCAGAGAAATTAAATTAAGAATTTTTTTAGAGGTATTATCAACCGGCTGATAATATAAATGTGGACATCGAGCCTTACATGAACCCCCATTACCCCCACCTCAAAGGAAACGTAGCTTGACTGTTTCCATGATACCTAAAGCTATGTCGACTAGAGTCTTTGATGACCCTTGGCTCAAAGGTCAAAGGGCAGAGGCTCAGGGACAAAGAGTGATCTCCTGGACCACCAGATGGGGGGTTGGGGGTAAGGCTACCAACCGTACCCCAGAAAACACTGCACATGCCTTGCACCAGCCGGTGCTGAGGAGATTAGAATATGGACCCATGTGATATTCGCTGGAGGAAAACATAACATTATCAGAAGGATTTTTGTCTGAGAGTTTGAAGAAGCTGAGCTTATTTACGACGGGAGGGAGTTGTTCAAGGGGCTTATTATTCAGTTGGTTTTAAACATTACATTTCGCGATCAATATATATATAGCTATGTATGCCATATATTAATCCTAATTGTTGTGGACGTCAAAAAAATAATAACTTCACATAGATGGAAAAATTTTCTGAGCCGGGTCCCGAATAAACGCCGAGTCTCAAGCATCTGAAGCCTCTCAACCATTTTTTTCAAGGTGCAATAAGCTTGAATTACAATCTTAAGTACATGTTATAAACGTCAAAGAGAATGGATAAAGCCATTGTTTTTATCCAAGGAGACGCTAGTTTACTTATTCATTTACTTACTTGGCGACATATTTGTTTTGCATTTTCGTTTATTCACGATTTGCGTCAGTGAATGACAACTGAATGAGTGGGTAGCAAGCTAAGAAATGCAATGTCCAACACTTGTTTATAATGTGTAAACGAAATAAAGCACCACTCCTGAGCGCAAAGCGTCACTGATTATGCAAACGACTGCGTTCTTATAAAATTTATGCTTAGAGTCTTATAAAAAGAGTCTACAAAGTCTCTTCAGAAATATTCCTCCCCCTGTTAATTGAATACCGATAAAAATTTTATTTTTCTAGAACCAAATTGCAAATAGTTTATCGCAGTTAGCGAACCAAACTACATTACTTAATGTGCTATAAAATACAATTTAAATCCTCTCGGCGCGCCTATAAACTTAAACTGGCTATCTTTGAAATAAAGGTTGAGTCAATTTATAAAAGAACCTTTGAGAATTGCATTGTATCCATAAAGCCAGGGAAAAATCTTTGTAATTAAACTTCCTTTGAATGAAGCGACTCTGTGTAAATATTTACTTAGATTTAAATAGACATTTTATGCTACAACATTCCAGGGTTGTACCTCAACACTGCCCACTAGTACTACATACTTACAAAGACTTCATTTTCTACGGAAATCCACAGTAAAAACTAACTGCACTGCGAGCTGCACATAAACCTGGTAACACTCCAAACCCAGAGTGAAAACATCGAGGTTGGGATCTAAGTGGATCGCGCGATGGGGTGTGAAAAACTAGTAGTTCTAGTGTTAGTCTGTTTAGTCAATGAGATGGCTTCAGAACCGAGATTACGGCTATCATGGGGCCGGCGGCGCAGATACTGTCATAAAACCAACTGCGTCCCCGGCTCTTGGTCTTCCTGGAGTGCTTGTTCGCATTCGTGTGGTCCACATGGTACACAATACTCCCGCCGGCCGATAATCAAACCAGCACAGTGTGGAGGAACGTGTGTGGTGACTACGCATGGAGCCAGAGCGTGTAATCGATTTTGCCTAAACGGTGGTACACTAATACGTTTAAGCTGCCATTGCAAGTATGGATACAGTGGGGAGTGTTGTGAAAAGGGTCAAGGTGAGTTTTAAAACGATTCAGCTGCTTTCATCCCAGAGAAAGGGTTGGGACGTCGTAGAGTTTAAATCATTGCCTCGAACTACAAGGAATTTCAACCGTCTCCTTCAGCCTTGAGAGCTAGCAACAACTAGAGATGTTTGAAATTTAGATTACGGTATGCTCCTCCATGTTAACCAATTACTTTGGTCTAATCACTCACCAAAAGCTCGCTCTGCAATTTTTCTGAACGTTTGCTGCTTGAAATGCGCGCTGAAAATATTCTGAATTTTAGTTTTTATTTGCTAACATTATATGTGTCAAAGGATTGAACGACCTTAAACGGTTGGGAGGGAAGGGTCGGACGAAACAATTTGGGAGTCGCAGTTATGACGTGGTCTAGACAGTCTGCACCGGGAACATTCACCGAGCATCTCAGATAATTGTTTCGTGATCATATTGCCCTTTATTGACCCTCATTTAGTTGTCTACCTATTACAATACGTCCCAAAAGTCAAATGGACCAAAAACGGCCATCGGTGCAAAAAGCAGTTTTTGATTGGTTAAACCACTTAGTATAAGACTTCTCCCAGCCAATTACAGAGCTCAAAGCGACCACGTGTCATTAATTTCAAAATTTGTCCAGCTAGTGGTTTTTTCGTTTACAGTGAGTAACTATAACTAATTATTATTTTTTCTTTAATTGTAAGTAATTAACATGTGTTTATGGTGTCAATAAATAGTGTAGTTTCCATCTTCCAACCTTTCGTATTCGACAGGAAAAGATGGCGGCTGGTCTTCGTGGTCAAGATGGGGACAATGTTCGAGCTCTTGCGGGACGGGACTACAGACCCGAAAGCGCTCCTGCACAAACCCGCCACCCAGCTATGGAGGGAAGACATGTGTGGGACCTGCCGAACAGCATAAAAATTGTCTACTCAAAAAGTGTCCAGGTAGATATTGATGTTTAGAAAAATTAATAATTCTTCGCTTTTAAAGAACGAAAAGTAAACTGCGTGATAGGAAAAGACAATGATTCATAAGCAAGTCAGGCCATTTGAAGTTAGATTTATAGTAGCCTTGATCGCCAGGCCACGGGTGCGAAGAGTTCCGCAAATTACATTGTATATATCAACACCAAATGTCCCACCTCATTTTGGTTAGAACATGTTCACTGTATGTGCAATGAGAAGTTGGTCCGCGGTTATAACCTTTTATAAACTCTGATATGTGGTATGATTCCTAGTATGCTCTGTACGCAGCGACAAGACACAAATATAATCTCAATGGGTTGCCCCGATGAAGCCTTCCTAACAAAGCTTTTTCATAAAAATCACTTTTAAAAGCCCAAGAGCTGTAGCCAAATAAATACTTCGGATTCTAAGTCCAAGTTGGGTTAATTCTGTTCAGTTTATTTTGATAGTAAAACAAAACCCTTTTAGAGGTATGACTTCAACTGAGCTGGTGCATGACAAGTCACACTTGTACAAACTGTTGCACTAAACAAGAAGGATATTATTTTGATATTCGGACTAATGTGTGAAGTAGTTAAACTTGTTTAGCCTCAGTTTTCTTCCCACTCTCCCCTATATTATATCCAAAACGATCTACTAACCTACCTTATTCATCACAAGATGGCGGTTGGTCTTCGTGGTCAAGTTGGGGACAATGTACGGGATATTGCGGGACAGGACTACAGACCCGAAAGCGGTCTTGCACAAACCCACCACCCGGTTATGGTGGGAAGAAATGTGTGGGACCTACCGAACAACATAAAAATTGTCTGCTTCACCGGTGCCCAGGTAAAAATCGATGTTAGTCGCTTTATTAACGTTAATGCAGTAACGCTACCTCACTAACTCACGAGCCTGTTTTTACAAATGCTGGCATGGGTCCGTTTTGTTTATTTTCGTCAGTGCATTCTGATTGTAAGCAGATTATTTAATAGACGGGTATAACTTGTAATGTCAGTACAAATTAAACCTAATCCTTAAGGTTACATATTCATTTGCATGGTTGCGCCCTTAATTTCACACAGTTTAGATCGCACTAACGCAAATACATTCCCGTAGTTCTCGTTGAAGTCAACTCCTCTTTTTAACTTTCAAGTTTCTTACATGTCATTTAGAAAGAAGTGAGCGATCACTCGTTTCAAACTTCCAATGTATCGTGTATATTAGACACTTTTAGATACGAAGAAGCGATAAGTACGTATTCAACAGATATCAATCCAGTTAGGAGCCTTCCTAAATCTTTCACCCGTCCCTGTTGATAGCCAGCTAAACAGTAGACTATCGACATGAGATTGACGAAAACGAGATAACGCAAACATAAGTGCAAGGTTTAAAAAGACGTAGTCGTGCTCCGATCTTAAGGACCTTATTGTCTATACATTGTAAGAACCCGTAATCAATCGAAAATTAGCCTGCGTAGCAAGAGTTCCCGTTCAAGAGCTTTTCCGCATTCTGACCGCGCGTAAATTGGGGCCGCGCGGTCACAATGCGGAAAAGCTCTTGTACGTGGGAACGCTTGNTCCCCGAGACACAGTGGAGGGTTTGCATAACTTCTGAGATTTTCCCTAATCCCCAGGTGTTTAGATGAGGCTAAGTAAACACGGAAAAAGTTCTCTATTGCTTTTATAATTGTTTTTTTTAAATACGCGCGAATCTAAAACGTCACATCCGTGTTTACATACTCACATCTGAACACACCTACCGACCAATGAGAGCGCGCGTAGTATCTCAGTTATTTTATAAATTATGATCTTACTACTGTGCTTATTGACTTATCACTTCTTTAGTGAATGGTGGATGGTCGACCTGGGGTCCTTGGAGTAAATGTTCCAAGACTTGTGGATACGGATCTCAATACAGTAAACGGTACTGTAATAATCCGAGCCCTGGGTATGGAGGAAAGCCATGCACTGGAAAAGATACAAGAACACGAGGCTGTTTGGTCAAATCATGCCCAGGTTTGCTATTAATCATGACTCAACTCTAGTTTACTTCAGAATTCCATAATGGTCAGACTGTCTACTCTACTCAGCAGCTACAAACGCTTTCTTTTCATAACGTTTTCAAATATCAGAAGTTTATGCTGGCGCGAACGAACGATTGCAAATCAGCTGGTCGTCATAGTGGCAATACAGGCTATTTAACAACCACTCTCCGGCGAACATAAAGGCTGGAGGTGTGAAAGGATAGGGACTTTATAGCTGAAGTATGGAAAAGGGTGGGGAAAATATCATTTAGGTACTTATTGAAAGGAGTTTCAAAATATCTCGAATAAACGTGTCTAAAGTGTTTATCGTGCTACCAATGTTTTTGCTCTACATCGCAATCAAACAAACCTGTTCGATTACCAAAGCGTTGTTAATTATAACTCTTCAAATAAATCTCTACCACTAGCATGCACTTCTCTTTTTCCACCCCAGAAAATCTAATACCCGACAGTCTGACGACGTCATTTCACTCTTCACGCCTTACGTACCTATGTTCTGAACAAGAGTGAAGTAAGGCTTTCTCCATTCAGACCACCACCCCCCCTCCCCCCCCGTTTTAAGTATATATGGCTCCGCCACTGGTCGGTTACTAGTCATTCTTTACAGAAAATCAACAGTTCGAGCTGGTTATAAAACTCATGATAGAAGTTGTAGAATGTTTATACTTAATCAAACAGACGGATAATGTAAATATCATCCCGATATGCCAGACTAGAAAACAAATGTGGACGAGACGTACCGTGACGTATCCAATGTCCATTTGTTTTTATTTTTATTTTTTTTTTTTTTCCATTTGCAGTAAATGGAGGCTGGAGTTCGTGGGGGAAATGGTGCGCATGCTCTAAACCATGTGGCACTGGGTCACAGTACCGCAACAGGGCGTGCACCAGGCCTCCTCCATCGTACAGAGGTAAACAGTGTACTGGACAGGACAAAGAGACGAGGAACTGCAATACTCATCACTGCCCTGGTACGTAAGCGATTCTGATCCGCTAAAGAGTATGCTTGTATTTTCTTCCATCGCTTCGGCCAGACACAATAATAACTATCTGCAAGTTTTATACTATCCGTTAATTTATATGCAAAGAAAAGTAGACCATTATATGTAACTACCTCCGCAACTGCATATTAAAATGGTCAAGTTGCTGCAAAAAAAATCGTGTCTTGGAGACAAACGAGTGTCGCGTACATTGCCGGCACGTTATGTTCACTCTACTAGAGTCAAACATAAACCCCAACTTTTCTGTTAAGCCCTGTAAAGTGTGATTATTCAAATGAAAACTTTAGTACAGGAATTTGACAGTTTTTTTCCACGTCCTACATTTTGATACTCTTCTTAGAAAAGGAAGGATAAACGAGCATAATGTTTCTTTTACCACTTTCCCTGGGCGACTGTTACGACTGATTTTCTTTGGAACTGTTACGGTATTGCAGCGTTTTTATTCAACCACCGGGTTTGAAGCGAAATGCCCCGTTTTGCTCAGCAAATTGAGAGGTTTTCAGTTCCTACAGGAGGAGGCAGGTCAGCCATAAATAATTTGGCCAATGAGCTGAAAATCTGAACACTGGGCTCCAGGATTCTAAGGCTTACTTTTCTATTTTCAGTTGACGGAGGGTGGTCTAACTGGGGTAACTGGGGCACTTGCACCAGAACTTGTGGAAATGGAAAGCAGTACAGCAAACGACACTGCGACAATCCTGCGCCCAAGTACGGAGGCAAGAAATGTTACGGAACAAACGTCAAAACCCGAGCATGCAACTTAAAACCTTGTCCAGGTAAGTCATTAAACAACGTGAACACTTTTGGACTGAGCTTATATGGAAGTGAAGTGTCTGAGAACAGCAACAAAACATTGTAACGAACTAAAGCCTTTGCAAAATGAAAATCAAAGAAGCAGTCACAGGAATTTCAAAGAACGGGGTTTCTTCAGTTGTAGCAAGAATACGCAGATTAGCACAATTGTGTCCGCGACGTAATACTGCAATAATGACGTCTTAGACATGACGATCTGAAAAATCGCCCGACCCTGGCGTTAATTGGCAACTGAGCAAGCGAAAGTGAAACCAAAGAAGTAAGTAACTTAAGTAGAAACATTTAGGATTTTAGGTCATTGAAAATCAAGGATAAGGCAATAGTTGGTACATGACCATTCATATTAAAAAATTTTTCTTTGTAGTTAATGGCCGCTGGTCACTATGGGCAGCATGGTCCGCGTGCACAAAGACTTGTGGGACTGGAAGCAAAACACGTCACCGAACCTGTACCAATCCCCCGCCAAAGCATGGAGGAGTGTGCATTGGACCGAGTGTTCAAACAAAGACTTGTGCGAAGCAAAATTGCCCTAGTAAGTTGTC